TGATAGCCACCCCATAACTTTGTGTGCTCGTGGTTGTCGTCTGGGTGACAGTATCGGAGTAGATTATTGACCCTCCAGTTGACAGTTTGTAGAGTCCACTTCCATTCCATCTGCTCTTACAGATTCCTAGCACTTCTATGCCATACCTTCTCATTTCGTTTGTAAGCTGGGCTGCCTTGCTGGGTTCAAACATGGTGCGGACATTCCATGTCCCCACGTTTACTATCGCTTTCATCGAGACAAGACACATCGGCTGATTGGCTCCCTGAAGGCTTTCACCAACTAACACCATTCCGTCTCTCTGATTCCGGCGAGTAATACGTAAAATTTTGTGCTTTTTATTTTCTTTGTGTTTGAAGTTTCCTTAGCCGTTGGACTGATTTTACGGGGTGAGATTGCTAGTCCTATGCCTAACCTCCCCCCTTTATCCCGGTTTAGGACCGGGTAGTGGCCAGTGAACTAGTTAACTCTGCGAAGGTAAATCTTTCGCTTTGTTTAACGGAAATGCGTCCTGTGCCATTGTGATACTTTTAACCCGAGCCAAGTCTACTGAGCTTAGTTACTGCCAAATATTGGAGGAATATTTGAATGTTGGTGTTATTGCCGACAGCAATTTTGCTCGAAATATTTCAAAAATACCCACCATCATATGGAAAAGCCACGTTATAAATTAACTTATAATACGATAATCCGCTCAAAACTGAACAAACTTTTCAGTACCACCCGCCCTTAGCACTTCTGCCAGTGCTGTCGAAAATAATGAAGAGTCTGGGAGACGAACGCGTCAGAACTTATTTGGACAAGAGCCGAGCACTGAGTGATGATCAACACGTTTTCGGCAAGGGTAGGTTCTACGCCTTAAAATTTATCGTGGCCAGTGACAACGGGACGGTTTGCTGAGACCTCCAAGTCCTTATCTGTGTGATTTCATTGGGTTTTGACTGGGCCTTTGACACAGCCTAACACACCATTCTCTTTCTCAAAATACCAAGGTTGGGTATCAGCGGTTAAGTGCTTTCCTGGTTGCAGGACTATTTGGACGGCAGAGAATTCGCACAAAAGTCAACTGGGTTTGCTTGACTTGGAGGACATCATTCTCTTCAACTTCATTACTGGTAACCATGAGGCACATAAAATCGTCATTGTTCTGTGCTTCGAAATATCAAAAGCATTTGATAAGGTGTTTCACTATGTGCCATTTAATGTACTGCAGTCAGTTGTCACTGGTGACCCCATGATTCTTGATGATCGTACTCAAATCATGAAAGCAAACCCCTTGCAGTCTGAACTTAAACACATAACTAGCGGATCTGTAATTTGTGTCAGCACTGCGTGTAACTGCTCCGGTGAAGGTTAAAAATTCGTGTACGCTGATGATCTGATGTTGTGAACACTTGTCACTCTCATGAAACGTGCAACACTATGGGCACTGCCCGACAGGAACTAGGTAAACTTGCGCCACTGTGTGCCGAGTCCCACCTTGAATTTAGTAACGACAAATGTGGTTGGCTTAGCACAGTAAGCGGCAACTATGACCTGACCCTTGAGGTATGTGGAAAAAGACTACTTAGACGCTTTCCTATGCTAAGCAGCCTACATCAGATCCAAGTCGTTTAAACTCTTGGGATGCATCATTCGTAAAGTGTAGAGCTTTGAGTCACAGGTTCTGCTCCGTAAAGTGTGCATTCGCCCACTCTTAGAATATTGCCTGTTTATTCTCGTTGGCCGTAGTGTAAGCGTTAAACCCAAAGTCGCATGGGTACAACGTTGCTTCACCTTCAGACATTAAGATCCGACTTCAGTCTAGGGTTACACATGCAGATGTATACACTAGGGCTGGAATCACTGAAAGAGGAGACTTAAAGTGAACTTCATATCTTACCATAAGTAACTTTATCACCACTTGCACTCTCAAGCTAATTAAAACGTCTATGTACAATATGAGTAACCACAAAGTATGGGTTGAAACTGAGTGTTGTACAACGAGCCTGCGAAATAATTTCCTCCCCAATAAATTCTCGCACATTTGGAGTAGGCTCCCAGAAGAAGCCTGTTCGGCCAGCTCGTTAACACTTTCCGCTCTCCACTTAATAAGCTACTAATAAATGATGAATCTGTCGCTCAGTTAGCCATTGTCAATGCGTCTTGAGCTGACGAAGACGTGGTCTGACCTTTACACGTGTGAAGCAGAGTTTTTAAAGTTCTTGAGTTCCTCTTGCACTGATGTTTTTGTGGTTGCCTACAAAGGTGCGAATACAGGTTCCCCCACTCAGTATAATGCACTTAATATGTACCGCTTTCCTCACAAATCTAATAAGATAATCCCCACATATAAGAAATTTCACGAACCTTATAATGGAAAAACTATATCGTTGGTTCCACATGCATACTTAAGAGTGTACATAAAGAATAGGAACTTCTCTCTTCTTTAGGTTGGATTGTGTAGCGATTTCCCCTCCTACACCTGCCAATGTTTCTCATTTTGTTCCTCTCTGCAGCGGAAGCTCGATCAAGATATTTCATGCTGAATTGCAGTCTCAACATAACGACTTAGCGGAAGTAACAGCTACCCTGTGGCGCCAAGAATTATTGGACTTCCAGCCTTTCGTGGTTTGTGCAGCATCTTCACAATAGACTCATTTACCGGTCAAGATTCTTCGAGTGGCAAACCGTCATAATTTGCTCAACGGTTACGCAGCAGAAATGCTCCGAACAAGTAGTTAAACTGGAGGCCAATATACCTACTGTTTCGAAAGGCGACTTATCGACAGTGGTATTCTGTACGAGGTGGTCTTTTCAACTGAAAGTCGCTGTTCATCAATACACTTCTCAGGTGATGCTGCTCATAATAATACGAAAGGGGCCCAGAGTTCATATATGACCACTGCCATTTAGATGTTTACCTTTTTCTGGGTCTATTTCCACGCACTACTGCAAGTATTCACGGTCGTATTAACCTCTATTATCTTCAAATGCAGCGTAGTGAACTGGAAGTGCATTGGTTCAGACATTCACCTTGGTTCTGTAACCGGGTACTTATTGATACCTCAGATCGTATGCATGGACCCTTTGTGATTGGCACAGCTAAAAAATGAGAAACTTTCTCTTAAATGGACGGTTACGTTACCAAATAATTAGCCATGCAAGCGGACTAACAATGTCGGCTGGCCATAACGCAAGCTTCGAACATTGTGCGCCGTTGGTCTTAATAGTGGAACCTGCTTATGCGATGGGAGATGGTAAATTCATGGACCGTCCCATAAATTGAAGCAAGTTTTATTGGGACTGTCCACATCAATCGCTTGATATATGAATCATCTGATGCCAAATACTATTTTGTAAACTTTCAAGGACTATGCACAAGATGGTGCCCATAAACTGGTATCTCTCATGCTGAATCCGTCATATGAGGTTGAGGCAATTATCATCATCTGGTGAAATGCAGGGAGCGATTCCGGGCCCCCTGCTTCTCCCCCTTTTTGTGAAGGACCTCCAAATGAGTCTTGACTTCCCAATTTCGCTTTACGCCGACGATGTTAAGCAACGGGTGGCTGCGAAAACCAAAGCACAACCAAGTGAAACAGTGATCTCAGGTTATTTGAAGAGCGGATGAATAACAAGGGACTGGCATTTATTCTGAGCAAATGCCGAGCCATATTTCTCAGCGCCTCTGACTCTCAAAAAGTATCCTGCTTTGTCTGCAGGACGCAGCTTTCCCACACTACCACAGCTAAGAGCCTGAGACTGATAATGACCGACAAGGTATACACTAGGTCCAGTTATCCAGGAGATGCCTCCAGAGCTTACGCAGTACTGCATTTCATGCACAGACAGCTAGGTACCCTGGCCCCAGAACCATTTTTGAAGCTGTGCAATACCATCGTATGGTCTGAGTTAGAGGTCCACCATATCTGAAAAGAGACGTGAACCTCCTAGAAAACTTCAAAAGATAACGACAAATGGTGTCTTGGGAATGAGGCGAAGGCCCTATGAGGACAGGCTGAAAGATCTAAGACTCTACTCTCTAAGCTACTGTGGATCACGCGGTGACCTGATAACGGCCTACAAAATACTAAGTAACCCAAGTCATCCGAACAGTGGAATCCTACGGAACGGGAACTGCGGCGATCTTTTTGGAACCCGAGAAGAACCGCCCACCAAAGGGCAAGAAACCGTGCGCGTTCACACTTCTCTCTGCGAGTTTGCGGCTACTGGAACGTATTGCCTGCTGAGATTGCTACTCCTCCTTCTGTCGACAGCTTCAAGAAGAGGTTGGACAGTTACGCAGCGACGCAAGGCTTGCGCTCATCCAGCTGGGATATGGACTAGGCTGATACCACCTACTAACTCGGTGCGGCCAAACCATTATCAGATACGTTGTGACATCACTACCACTGAGAAATTGGCTCAACCTCGTACTTCCCTATAGACGTTCCCTCCAGTTACCGTCTCCTACTAATAGAATTACTATCTCTATTCGCATAAGCCGTCCTATAATATTATGTTCCCCTTCTCTTCCTGCGACTTTGCTTTCTCACACCTTGAGAAAAGCTCTCCCCATCATCCCTCTCCCATGAATCTACCGATGCTTCTTCTGCCATACCGTTTCATTTTTCCCAATGGCTTTTTCTATTGATTATTTTTTTTCAAACTTTCCCCCTCATAATTTCTCCGACATATTTCTCATCTCCTTTTTACAACCAGTCCGACCAATTTTCTGCTGGCACGATACTTGAGGAAGCCATTTTTACCACAGTCTTTGGACAAAAACAACATACACTCCCTACGAATTCAACTAATATCCAAAGCCCGACGGGCTAACCATAGTTACAGCAGTCGAGTAGGCATACATACCGCATCGGAATGTACCAAAAACCTGGAATCGCACCTCAAGACCTACAACAGAGTGCGAAGAAACCAATTGATTATACTAGGGTGTAAAAAGATATTGGGTATTGGATATTGGATCCAACCTCAGCGGGGAATTCACATCAAGGACGATGGTATTGTTTGAGAGCTACGAGAAGCAGTACGGCAGTTTGACTAGTGACATAACATTCAAGTTAGGAAAAATACCTCGACTTAGTGGTGGTATGTTTTACAGTTGCCCGAAGGCTATTTATCTGTGGAGTATAACACTAATGATAATTTTAGATGAGAGAACTAAAGAAGTTCGCGATGTATCAACACTTTTCGATGAGACGAAAGAACTGATTGAACAGATGTCACTTGAAGTTCAGGAGATGAGAGTCGATATTCGATCAAAATACCAAAACCGTCTTGAGTGTTATCGAAAAGAATTAGAAAAACTTACGTCTGAATTCGTAAGTGTTTTACTGTATTTTCAGTTTCTCTAGTAGCATTATGCTGTCACTAATCATCTCATCCTACTTCATCAAGTGCAATACTCTGACTTCATCTCTATTTTACACAAAACGTTATATTGTGGTATGCTGGGATTTACTTGGTGCCGCATGAGTGATAATGATTATTGACGAGTTTGATCATCGAAGTTGTTTCAGCATTTGTCTCCCTGCAAATAATTTCTCTATATGAGCACTCTGAAGGACATGATTGATAGTGGCACTAAGGTTTTCTTATTGTCCTTAGGTTCATCCTTACTAAATTTGGAAAAGGGGAAAAATTGGGAAATAGACAGTGATGAGGTTACCGTATTATAAAGGAGGGAAAAAGTGAACTCGTTTTGGGAAAGTGGACAGGTGAGGGAAAACAAAGTGTTTTTGAGGGAGGAAGTAGACATGCGGGTTGATTGAGGAAGGTGACTTCAAAAAGAAAAAGGAGACAGTCGAGGAAAAACGACGTAGAATAGGGAAGTCGCTAGCATTTTCCCACGACTGTCGCTTTATTTCCCATATATACGTCTCATTTCCCTCTTGTTCATCCATATTGATTACTTGAGTTCATTCACCGTATTTGCTTAATTTAAACGTAAATTATGTTTCATATGTCATTTTTCGTGTTATAAAGGTAATATCTCGACTCCAAGACAGTTTTTCTATCATTTTCAGCACAGTCGGTATGCAATTATCTGATATGTCACCTAACAAACCTTGAAATTTATTACGTTACTGGGTTTCGACCTTTGATTGGTGGCATCAGAGGTGATAAAAAATAGAACATGCACAAAACATTACACATCGATGCCAGCATGTGAATACCGTTGATATCAAATAATCCTATAAATACCAAGGTGTAGCTCATAGACTGCACCCAAAATCCCAGCAATTTTTGACACAGTTACATAAATACATCTAAAGAGAATCGAGAAGTGAATTGATTCAAATTGTCACACTGCACAGCAGAATGCTGAAAGGAAAGAAATCTGAAACAAATATAAAGGTTGGTGAGAATATATGACTGAGGAAGGCACAGATGGGTGATGGTCAATGAAAATATTAATGACTTTGAAAATAAGAAAGGGTGTATATATTAGGATTATTTTGACCACGTGTAAGCCATATCACCAAGGCTTACTAACCACCGATTTCTACACAGAAATTCAACGAAGAATCCTGCACACAAGTGTATCGGTACAAGTTGCCACATTTAACAGAATTGTACAAAGAATAATTGGTGGGAAAAACTGATATTAACGTAGACACTGGTGTATGGGAGGAGAGATAATTTAAAAATTATGATTACTCAAAACACTGAAGCTTTGGGGGGATATCGAAGAGTAAATACATCTGTGCTATTGTAACCGATTTCCAGCCATTTCACCAAGAGTCCCCAACCACGTATCCCTATTGTGTCGGGTACCCCAGCCAGACAGTCTTCGCCTCCCTATATGCCTAACACCAGTCACAGACTTCATGCTCTGGTGCCGCATCTTAGTCCTGCCACTCCAAGCCTTCTTCCAACTTAATCTAACTTTTACTAGCATTGCACTTTGAGGTAGTCAGTGACTTGTTATAAACAGAACGTGTCCAAACCACCTCAGTCGATGAGGTTGTGGACCTTCAGCGACTGACTTGCCTGGATTGCCTAGTGCACTTCTCCTAATTTCAACATTAATAACATAGTTATTCCAGCATACGCAAGAAAGGCTACGAAGACACCGATCAACAGCCTATAACCGCTTTTTGTCTTCTACCATTAACGGCCACTTCTCACAGGCGTATAACACGATAGAACGAACTTCAACGCAATGTACACTCGTCGTTTTATAGCCAATCGAATATCTCTCCATTCAGCACCAAAGTTGACGTAAGTTAAAAAATGCCAGATGGGCCTGCTGTATCCGAGTTGAGATTTTGTCAGCATCCAACCAGTTCGGGCTGATGTAACTTTCAAAGTGAGTGAAGTTGTCGACGTATTCAACCAATTCACAGGTGTGAAACGCATGCTAAGCACACAGATTTCTATTCAATGCGTTTAGAAGACCCTGCATTTTGTCAGCGTTTTCACCTAGCAGGACAGTAGTCTGTGTACTCACTCCAAGTCAGTCAGATGACCTCCAGGGAAGAGATCAATTCTTGTGAAATCAGAGAAAACGGTGACAGCCAGTATCCCTGATAGACATCATTAGTTGTTATCAACTCAGATGAAAACTCCTCACAAGACCTTACACGACAACATGATTTTGATCGTAGAGCTTTGATTGGTATTGTAAACTCGTTCGGTACCCCGTTCACAATCAGACACTGCTACAACACATCATGGTTGACATGCCACTTTCAGAGAAATATGGCAATTGTCCACCGCCGTTAAGCATGCCCATGTTCCATAACCTATCGGAAGGTGAAGATTTGGTCGATGCATCATCGTCCAAGTCGGGAACCTGCATGGATTTTCCGAGTTTGCTATTCTCGAGCTCCAGTTAGTCTCTGGATAACTAAGGACCCTAGGATCTCGGACAAAATATTGGTAAAACTGTTTGCCCTATGGCTACTACAAGAAGACTGCTCCTTCTTATCAACTCGAATGATCAGCGAAATACACTATTCTGTCAGAGCTACCTCTGATTCCCGCACACTACGTAGTATCTCCATCACATTACTGAGTAATTTTCTACTCCCATCTGGAGAAGCGTCGAGTGGTAAAGCATCAGATCAAGTTGCTTTGCTTCGTTTCAGGTTCGAAACAGCCTCCTCAACGTCAGTAACGTCCGGAGGACTAACATCTGCGTCGCATTCAGGTGCAAGTAAAGCATTTCTGTGAGGAAGTTAAACCAAGCTTCAGTGTTCTGCCTAACGTTCTTGCCTCCTGTCCTGAGAGGTTATCAGAGTCCCATTCTTTCCAGTTATGGTTTCACTAACCGTCGTTTTCTTCCTGCCGATATCCTTAGTAAGCCTAAATAGTTGCCGGGCATTACCCAACGCTAATGCCTTCTCCATCTCTGTCGTTTAAGCCACCCACGACTCCTCATGATCACTGCACAAACTCTTGCTCAATTAACATTCAAGTTGCTTTCGCACTTCATTGTGGCCAACTGGGATAAGTCCTCTCACATCAATCAGTTCGTTATGAAAATCTAGTGGGGTTTGGTGACCGCATGTAAGTTGCCAACTTTCCCGACCGATAGCTGCTACCTTGACGTGGTGGTCGGGCTTGCATATCACAATGACCCAATGAGCTATGCTGGTAGGACGCTTGTTCCCTCGAGGTCCTACCATACCAGAAAGGTCTGTTGGATAGTGGTTAGACGAAAAGCAGTTACCGTTATAGTGTAAATTGCTACACTATGATGGGGTCTGAGGGCGAAGTCATACTGCTGCTAGCTGGATCGGATGTGACAGCAGTAAGGTGTTTCCCTTGGACGACCAGCAGTGCCATGCTGATGCTGCCTTCTCAGTGAAAGGGGGGATTAGAAAAGGTCGGCCCCAAAAATAGCACACTCCACCATACCCCATGGTCTGCCGGGCCGGCGGTGTTGGTTCACTTGTTTCTTTTCGACCATCCAGCCCCAAAAATACAAAAGTTCAAAATAATCATACTCAAAAGGCTGAGTGTGACAGGCCTCAAGCAGATGTCCGATGGGCTCTGCGGTCACACAAATCTCTTTCAAGTACCTTAAGAAGAAGTAATTTTCCACGATGTGGGCAGCCGGAAAGTGTCAACCGCCCTCACAACTCTGTCGGCATTCAAGTTTCTTCTGACTGCTATCCATCTCCTCCATCATTACCTTCTAATCTTCCTTCACATCTCTCAATTAACGATACTACATCTTCAATTTTTCTTACCTCTGCAGCCTTCGACAACGATCTGAGTCCACAGAACAGCATCACTGGTCTCCTTAAACCACACTCCAAATCACATATTGGAGCCTTCAATGTCCGCAACCTCCGTCAAATTGGTCAACAGCCTTCGTTAGCAAAGACTCTAGCAACTCGGGGCATGGATGTGTGCTGTGTTTTTGGGACACGCATACGTGACCATCCAACAGACCTTTCCAGCATGATGTGACCTGGAGAGAACAAGTGTTCCAGCCAGTGTAGCTCATTGGGTCATTGTGAAATACAAGCTCGACAGACACGTCAATGTAGCAGCTGTCGATCGAGTTTGATTTATAACCCATTATTTGTCGCTGAACAGGGTCATTGAACTATTATATTCAGTAAATTCTAACAACCTAAACAAAAGTAGTCATCAATAAATTTCTCATGCGTCTTGGCGTGATATCCGCGTATCGATCATTACCACTAGGTCTGCGTATTCACCCAGTGGTGGATCAACGCTGATTGCATCTTTACTAACAGATTCAGCAATTTGTTAAGAGAAATGACTAAGTGTTGGATAGCATTCTTCCTTGGTTTTGCAAACTACCAGCACTCATTTAAGCGGAATCCAGTCGGCGACCAGTTTTGGTACATGGTAGCTAAATGAGCTCACATTAACGCGTTTTCGTAACATAACAAGATTATGCAGTAAAGATGCATAGCAGATAAGAATTAACACGCATGTATCAATAAAACATGTCTCGAAAAAAGTTATATTCAATAACTAGTTTACATTTCGAAGTTACTCAACAATAGGAATGATAGACAGCATCGATGTTGAACCTTGCACAAAAGTTCAAGTTGCCATGTTTCACAGAAGCCTGTCTAAAACAAGAGGGTCGGAAAAAGACAGAAGTGTATCCGAGCAAAAAGAATTTGGAAATTGAGGTTGTTAAATCTGTCTAGGTTCCGAATGTCAAAGGATGAAGATATCTGTGACACTGACAGATTTTCAGTCATGTAACAAAAGTCTGTAAACATTGGTTCACATGGTCTCGACGAAAAGAATCAGACCAACAGCCAGAGACAGTGGTAGACGATTATTCGTGAAATCAACTGAACTGCTAACTAGTGCAGGATGTCAGATATGAACCACTGTGACTGGTCTCAGTCACTGATTGTCTCAGTCTTTAAAAAAGGTGAGAAGCCTTCTTGTAATAACCGCAGGTGCATTAGCCCGACGACTCTAGGTTCTATTATCATTAGGCGTCTGAGTGAAGCTCGGGAATAGCAAGGGCTAGAAAAACAGGCAGACTTCAAACCCGGCCGTGGGTGTGTCGACCAAATATTCACACCACTAGGTTCTGGGACACACGACTGCTTAACGATGCCCGATAATAGCCATAATTCTCGACATAAAGGCGGCGGCAATCGACTCCGCCGACTAAGATGTCTAGTGGTGGTATCTTCTACTGAAATTAAGTACATAATTGTGTTGAAGGATCTCTACACGAACAGCCAATGATGAGTTCTATATGTTGAAGGATGTCCTGCAACGATGTCCACCCTCTCTGTCAGAGACCTACTTATGCAGGTGGCTTCGTCGTCTGACTTCACAAGGATTGGTCTTGTCACAGGAGAATCCTTAGTAGATCTAGAGTACACAGATGACAGTCCCGTTAGGTGAAGATGCGGACAAGATTCAGTCTCCTGGACACGTTGAGTAGCAACTTGAAAATATTTGGAATATGTTTCTTGCCACCCACATGAAAATCGCTGGTCGGCGACTAGTCTTCAGTGGTGCCCTGTCCGATAATAGGTAGTGAACGGATCGACCATGCTGTTCACTTTACCTACCTGGGAATTCCGATTAGCCCTGGTGGGTCAATGGCCGACTAAATCTCTGCACAGATACAAAAGGCTCGCTTGGCTTTTGACAACTTACGCCACTTATGGCACCGCCACGATCTCCGACTATCTATTAAGGGTCAGGTATACAATGATGTAGTTCACTCTCTTCTACCGTATGACTGTGAAACATGTTCATTAGAGGTAGAAGGCCCGAGAAGGCTTCAGGTGTTCGACCACCGTTGACTTCAAAGTATAGACTGTGTCGTGCTGTCACCACGTGAGTAATGCACAAGTCAGGTGTAGAGTTTTATACAGGAGAGGTAAGATAGTTGATGCGATTGTGAACCTTCATCGACTGAGCTGGCTGGGACATACGTTACGTATTCCTATTCACCGTCTGCCCCGTCACTCAGTGTTAGCTGACGTAGGTTCAGGCTGGAAAAAGGTTCTAGACAGCCAGACTAAAACATGGCATCACTGCACGAAGTCTTTGACTGTTGGTCAGGACCGTATATGGAATTCTTAGTTGGGGTCCACATGACTACAAGAATGAATGGTCAGAGATTTTAGCCGACAACTCAGAATCGATGTCATGGGCGTAGGTGTATCCATACGTTATCCTCATCGTAGTAGTCATACTGAATTCAGTATTTTCTCATTACTTCTCTCTTTTAATATTATGTACTATCTCCGACCGATTCTTCTTTATCTCTTAATCTTTCTTCCCAGTGCTTTGTCACCAAGTTTGCTGATATGAAGTCTGGCAACTTGGATCGTTATGCAGTAATGCGCGATAACGATGATGGTGGTGTAGGGAAGTGTAGACTTCCCATTTTGAACCGGCGTGACAACCGAAATAAGTGGTCAGAGAATCTAGGTGATGTCTCTCGGAATCGATTTAAATGGAGGAGATGTATTCACGGATTATCTGTAGTGTAGTCGTTTTACCCAACTGGATTATATTCTCACTCCTCCTTGCTCTCTTTCCCCAAGCTTCTGCTACTTCCGACAACCTTCTTTCTTATTTCCCGATCTCTCATTTTGGTGTATTCGCACTTAATTTGATGATATGAGATACCGCAACGTGGAGCAGTACGTGGTTGATATTGACTGATTCCTTCTGCGTAGGCTTCTACGCATGACTTAAGCATTACTGACGTGATGGCACTACGACACACTACTTATGATATGAGAGGGGGCCGTGAACAGGCTAATAGCAGGGAAAAATCGATGTAGAACCTCGTAGAGAAGTTCGTCGGTTTGTTTTGCAACAAAAAACAGTAGCATGTGAAGAGCAGCTGGGTGGAAAAAGGGTGATGTCAAAGTATATAAATGAGTATGAAAAGTCAAAGATTTTAAGAAAAAAAACTAAGGGTAGTGGAAATATTCAAATTTCAGCAGACATCGAAAAGTGAATACAACCGCGTCATCGAGATTGATTACTGGTCATTTCATCAAGGGTCTCCTATCATTGATTGCTATTATCTCAAAGACCTCTGTCGGTCAGTCTACATCCCATACAAGGGTCAGACCAACAGCCAAAGCATCCACAGAGTGGCAGGTGGTAGTCTAGTATCTCGCGTTACAATTAGCTACCAATGATGTGGATATTTCAAGGACTGTACCTCTTTTTTTATCACCTACTTGGACTCCAATCATGCTTTAGCGTGCACTAAGTCCATCTTGCGTTTTGGTGGTCAATCAACATCGTGGTCCTTTAGGGGTCGACTTTAGCAAATAGGCTGTTGCCAGAATTCCGTTTGAATACTTAACCGATCTAGATTCAAGACTAGCTGTTAAGCCTTGAGAAAGTACAGGTGAGTATTGACTATTTACAACACATCATGAACATGGTGAGTGCAGCTGCTTGTGGATTTAAAGAATGTCTCACTTTTAAACACTGGACCCTTGCAACTCCTTAACTCTTATCGGTTTATTCTGCCAGGCAGCGATAAATCATGTGGCATTTGCGTAATCTTCACATAGGCTGTTGGTCAAAAAGTGCGATTAAAGTAATAGCAGCGGTTGCACGTGGCAATAGTTGAAGTTATCGCTGTTCATCAAAACCATTGGCAGCAAAAAGCCTGGTGTCTGAGATAGTCTGTGAAGTAGGCGCTGGGCCGATCTACAACTTTTGTAGATGCCTGAAATACTAGGTGGAGCACTTTTCGCCTACGGATCAAACTACTTTGATTTTGATGCGTTGCCCCCGTAATCAGTTTACACCTACCCAACTTACGAAGAAGAGGTTCACCAGGATCCCCAACTGCTTAAGTTCCGCAAAGTAATTATTCCAAAATCTTAACTCTGTGTCCTTTCAGTTGTGGTGACACTAGTCAGAGGATTGAATATATTGCTTGCAGTTTGGCAGACTGAGTGTTTCATCACCGTGAAATGAAGCCATCTCTGGTACAGGTAGCTCCCCTCTACACCTGTGGGAACCTGACCCCAAACTTTAGATATCCGCTGACTGCTTGTTGGACCACCGTTGTCTTCATAGCATTCCTCGCATCCGCCGAAAACACCATATAATTCGAAGGTGAAGGGGCGTACTTGGGTGTGACTGCGATCATCATTCATCAAGTATGGTCGTCTTGAAACACTGACTTCTGTCGTTTGAACATGTGTTACGTATATCGTCCCACATACTCTCAAGCCGCTTACTGTTTGCTTACTCTAGGAAGAACCGGGAAGGTGGCCAGTGTATGACGTAGCGTCGTGCAAGTTGTGTTGGGTTAGCATCTGTAGGTCTGACAACTCCTTGGACGCGGTTTGAAAGGTCATGGAACCTAGTGGCTTGAGAAGAAAGCCGACTGGGCTCAGAATCGACCATCCTGCAGCTTTGTTGGTTCTTCTGTTACTAGAAAGTTGGACGAAGGTAGTGAATTTTTTCAGTGTATTTTTGAGGTTCCTTTCTCAATAAACCATTGGTATTTTGTGTCTGCACTCTCTTCGTTTTCCTCTTCCTATACCACTTTTACGTCTTCTGAGTGCCGCTGTATTATTTGTGTAGTATATCTGTCTGTTCCGTAGTTGTACATAGCTTGTGCCTTTAATTAAATATTGATAAAATGTGTCATGAAGTACGGAGCATTTCACTGTGTCCAACTCCTAGCGTCAATCTGTTAAGCCTCACTTTGTCGACAAATTACTCGACTTTAATTATCATACTGTTTATTTTTACTCCTAAATCTTCATACTTTTTGCATCCATTTCAGAGGTTACCACGCTATTCTGCCCGCTTACCTGATAAAAGAGATTCAGGAGTTTCTGATGATGAAGAAAGCCTGCGGGAAGAGGTTTTGTTTGATTCGGATATGAGGGCTCAGCTTCTGAGTAATAGTGAAAGGATAGCTCGATCTACTACAAAGTTGGAGGACGGTGTCCGTGTTGCTTTAGAGACGGAAGAAGTGGGCGGTCATATCTTACAGGAATTAAGTGAACAAAGGGAAAAACTCCAAAGAAGTCGAGATCGGGTGAGTCAGAAATCTTATTATACTTGATTATCCTACATATTCATTGTGGCTTATGCAATTAAGTCTTATTTGAAACATCTTACTGTTAGCCACTATTTTTCCTTATCAATCTTAGTTCTGTTCTGTCTTTTTGTGGACCATAGAAAATGCCCATTTAGTCAGAAGAGGTTTCTGTGAATCATATACATTTACTTTTTACTAATTGAGGGTTGATTACGGTCAGGAACTCTGCATTTCTAGGGGACTTTAGATGGCTTCAGGCTTCTTTCGCATGAGTGGTATTGTTCTTTTCTGATAACTATCTGACCACTTCTTCACTGAATCCAAGCTTAGTACTCTGATTATCGAGCTGCATTAACGTTGGTCGTGTTGGCATAATTTTCCTACGTTCATTTAGACAGAAACACATGTGCTCGAACCAACGCGTGGTTGTTGTCCAGACACGCTCCAGTAGGAGCGGCAATTTTCTACCCAATCTCTCCCGTGATAATTGATAGCAATATATTCCTTGTACGTGGGTGAGTTGAGGCCAGGAGACGCCACGTCATAAGATGTCTCTCTTCATATCTGAAGTTCACTTTCGGTCAGAAATAGATGGTTGTCTGTGCACAGTTGTAGCAGGCTATCGCCGTTATCTGTTCGTTCAGCCAGGATTCCGAAAGTGCCACCTAGGTGCCTTTCTATCTGACTTAGCTTAACCTTCTTTTGCATTGAAATCACTTGCAACAACAACCACGTCTGAACGTGTTTGGCTTTCAGTAGGAGGCCAAGCAGTTTTCGACAAAACTAATCCTCCACTTCTGAACTACAGTCAGTGGGTGCGTAAACAGAGACTACAAAGAAACAATGGCGAGTTTCATAACTCTTTTCTGTCTTTGCAAAATTTGTTTGCTGATTTCACGGAGAATGCGGAAATCGCGAGCTCCATTATGTTGTTTGGAGTGTGGTTTCAGAAGACTAGTGATGCTGTTCTGTGAACTTCGGAGGTAGAACAAATTAAAGATGAAGTAGGATTACTAACCAAGAGATGTGAAGGGAAATTCCAACTTGAGGGTGCAGAGGGTGGACAGTGATTTGAGGGAACTTGAGTTCTGAAATACTTATTAGGGTGTTTGGTACTTCTTGATTGCCCCGCTGTTGAAGTTTATTACTACTTGAGGTAGCTACAAAAATGGTCAGGACAGTCATCTGCTCCATGCCGGTTACCTACGGCATTTTATAAGTTTCATATTTTAGTTTGTCTTTTGTGAAATCCGACTGTTAACCCAAAAAATGGTTTTCCGAGTGGTTCTGCTTTCCCACTTTAACGTTAAAGTCACCTGTCATTCTGATCATATGTAAACGTTTTGCTTTCTGTAGTAAAACTGGCAGTTTCTCATAAAATCCATTCCTGTTATCACGCGAACTACTATCAAGCTACTGCTCTTCATCCTAGGGAAGCACTTCACTGCTGTCACACCTCATCCAGTCAGGAGTACAACTTCGCTCTCGCATTCCATCACAGCGTAGCAATTTACGCTACAACGGTAACTGCTTTTCGTCTTACCACCATCCAACAGACCTTTCCAGCATGATGTGACCTGGAGAGAACAAGTGTTCCAGCCAGTGTAGCTCATTGGGTCATTGTGAAATACAAGCCCGACAGACACGTCAATGTAGCAGCTATAGGTTAGGATGTATTGTTAGGTTAATTGCAATGCTCATAAAGCTGCATTAGCGATTGAAAATTTGTTGTTGTTGTTTGCTGCTCGCGTGTAGTGATATGTATGCCAACTTTTGATGAATACAGATCCTTGTCTTTGTCCTCCCAGTAAATGTATGCATTTTAATGTTTCAGACCATGAAATGATCCTACATTTTGAAGACTGCCGATTCCTCCTGGTTGTTCATCGGTATTTCTCATGCCTGATAGTCGAGTGCGTAAATCAGTGAAACGCAACCCACTGTTGCCTGATTATCTTTAGTTTGTATGGAATAACTTTCAACTTTATGCTTACCATCTCTTTGCTTAATTTTCTTGTCAGCTACGTCAAGCAGACTCCGATCTAAAGAAGAGCTCGCGAATAGTTGCCGTAATGACTCGTCGGTGAGTTTAGTCTTCTTAATTTTATCAGACAAACAATCAAAAGTTATAACACTTTTATCAGTGACTCACTGGTGTTTGATGCACATAATGCAGACACATTAACTGTATTCACTATTAGTACATTTTAAAATATTTCATATTTGCCAACCCTAGACTTTTATATGGTTTTCATATTTTCTCTTTTAAACTCAATATATTAGCATTGGTGCCGGCTTGAATTCGAGATAAAATAACTTGAGTGAACTTACGACGTTTATTTTTTTGTTTATTGCATTTTCCCAAACTGGTGATTGCCTTACTATCGGTGAATAATAGCATGCTACCAAGCCCTTTTGGTTTCTACGTGGGAAAACACAATACATTTATGAATGTTTGAGATGAGGCTTAACTGCATAAACCACAATGAAAATGTAGGATAATCAAGTATAATGAGGTTTATGACTCACCCGATCTCGACTTCTTTGGAGTTTTTCCCTTTATTCTTTTAATTCCTGTAAGATATGACCACCCACTTCTTCCGTCTCTAAAGCGACACGGACACCGTCCTCCCACTTTGTAGTGATCGAGCTCATTATCGTCATCATCAAGATCAACATACGATCAGACATTACTGTGTAACGGTCCAAGTTGCTACATCTCACGTGAAGGAAAGACAAATTGATCGCACGAAGTCAAGGTAGCGAAAGAGGAGTAAGAAAAATGATCAGATTAAGTATTACTGTTCAGATGTGTGTATACATCTGCGCCCCTGACATCGGTTCTGATCCATATCATGTAGAATCTCTAACCATTAGTTTCTCTTGTCCGGCGGACCCTAGCTGGCTAGTGTGCATTACTCTAAATGACGCAGACGAACAGTCACCGACTTCATGCATTGATGCCGTTTTTGTCTGGCTTCCCTGAGCCTTTTTCCAGCCTGAACCTACGTCAGCTAACACTGAGTGATGGGGCAGACGGTGAATAGGAATACGTAACGTATGTCCCAGCCAGCTCAGTCGATGAAGGTTCACAATCGCATCAACTATCTTACCTCTCCTGTATAAAACTCTACACCTGACTTGTGCATTACTCACGTGGTGACAGCACGACACAGTCTATACTTTGAAGTCAACGGTGGTCGAACACCTGAAGCCTTCTCGGGCCTTCTACCTCTAATGAACATGTTTCACAGGCATACGGTAGAAGAGAGTGAACTACATCATTGTATACCTGACCCTTAATAGATAGTCGGAGATCGTGGCGGTGCCATAAGTGGCGTAAGTTGTCAAAAGCCAAGCGAGCCTTTTGTATCTGTGCAGAGATTTAGTCGGCCATTGACCCACCAGGGCTAATCGGAATTCCCAGGTAGGTAAAGTGAACAGCATGGTCGATCCGTTCACTACCTATTATCGGACAGGGCACCACTGAAGACTAGTCGCCGACCAGCGATTTTCATGTGGGTGGCAAGAAACATATTCCAAATATTTTCAAGTTGCTACTCAACGTGTCCAGGTAAACACGTTCAGCCGCCTCACTGTGTTGCTAGCCGGAGCATCATTGAAGACCAGTCCTGGAACAACAACTTGCATGCTGAAATTGAATAAGAATGGAAATAATTGACATCTTTGACGGATACCACTCAACGAACATAGTTCACCTGAAATCTCACCACAGGCTCTTACACGCCACAGGTGTTCGAGTAAAGAGCCTTCAATAAGATGATGTACTTACTGGGTACCTCTTTCATTGAGAGACATTACCATGAGACTTCATGATCGACGATATCGGTTGCCGCCACCCTTATGTCGAGAATTATGGCTATTATCGGTCGTCGTTAAGCATGCATGTGTTCCATGGTTATGTGGTTTTGATCCTAAATGTCTTCAAATTATTACTTGAATCTGGTGGATTGACTGTGTTAGCATGGCGAGCCAGCGCCTGCCTGGACGTCCTGTGCTATCAGATGTTGGATTATATTGGAAGACTTAGGGTGACAAGACGAAGACGTGTCCTTAGTCAACGATGTCCCTTACTGCTTGACAGCCGTGCAGGAACGTGCAGACTACCTGGCTGGGTTCCAGAGATGATTGAAATCAGTGGTTGAAGACTTTTGGTAAAATGGCTAAAAATCGGTCACAATAGCGCAGATTTATTCACTCCTTGACGTCTTCTAACCTTTGAGTATTCACGCTAATGTTTGTCTTCGAATTTCTGGTTCCTACGCACAACTTTGTCTACTGTAATGTCACTTTTTCTATCCACTTTTGATTTGTATACTGTTGTGAATTCTGGCAACTTGAACCGATGCTCTTGTACGCGAGGCTCTGTGTTGATTTTGTCTGTCTTATAAACCACACGTTATGTTCTAGAAGTAGTTATTCTTTGCTGTGTGTCACTAATGCAAATATAAGTGATATGTAGCACGATGTAACTGCGGAATGCAAATGCAGTTTGTATGCTTACATAAAGGGTCCTGTGGGAATAGACGAGAAACATTGAGAGGAAATACAGATGACAAACAAAAGAGCATCAAATAGTGAAAACTGTTTTTTCTTGAGTGTGGAAACTACTCTTGTGAACTGCAGTCAATGGAAGATTTTGATTTCTCACAATCCATGCCACTTGCCAATGAACAATTCTATTGATCGCCCGCTTTCGCTTTCGTCAAGTATTCATAGTTATCTAGGTGCAATTAAGCGGAGTGGATTTTAGCACCTTATACTAGTAATCTGTTGGTTGGATAACTTATCTACAATTCCATATCAAAATTGGATCTTGGAAGACTTCCTTAACTTGTGATGAGAATCATCTTCCAGTGATTTGAAAGAGGATTAATGCATTCGTTTATGTCGTGCGGGTTAACTTTTATTTTTCCTTCACACTTATTTCCAATTAATAGTTTAGAGACTAAAGTAGCGTATGCACATGCGTTCCTGGCGCATGGATAATAAAGGATGTGAAGATCAAACCTCGAAATTTATTGTTTGTCGGTAGAACACCTAAAGCTATCGTGCTGCTCGGTATCTTTATCTAGTTCATTTACTAGACTATCAGCACCTATTTAACTATGTACAACGATATCATTTATTTGCTCAAAATGATGTAGATGCATCAATTTTTCAAACCTTCAGTGTAAAACTAAGAAATTAAAAAGACTCTATCAAACTTATTTTCATTTGATGGTCACGGTTTTGTTCCACTATAACAAACGTGTCCGTGATAGTTGGCTAGTATTCTCAGGGTTTTGATATTTTATTTTGGATGTTGCATCATTTTAGTACTTGACTTCACCAGCACCTAATAACGATGTAAAACATGTTCATGTTGCATCAGTGGTTATGTTTAATTATGTGTGAGGGTTATTTCCTGTCATGCACTGACCGTCATTTTACGAAATCAGGCCAGAAGGAAAACAATCTGTGTCGCTTTGTTGTGGATTTGTGAACTTAACTACTGACCTTGTGTTCACCTTTTTATTTACTTTGTTACATTCTAGTTTTCTGGTTGGTTTAAGTAATTGTTATATTGGGTCTGTGCTCTGGTACCTATTGCTTTGTTGAGTTACTATACCTCATTCTAAAAAAATCAAGATGAAATATCAAAACATAGAACAGCAAACAGTTATCCTCATCAATTTCATCTATACATCTTTCATGCCGTTGCGAGGACATCTGTATGAGGAAAAGCCAGCGTAATTCTAGGCATACCCTAGGGAAATGTGCTTTCGGAAATGAATTCTTAGCACCTGTTATACAGAAATTAATCGGTTTCTCTTGTTTTTCAAGTGCACAGTATGTGAAATAAGAATCTTTGGTGAAGGAAGGTCACCAAATGTCATAGTTGTCTGTCAGTGCTGATTTAAAATTTCAAAATAAAATTAGTCTACTCATCCGTCAATTTTTGAACTCAAGATGTATAGACTGGTATTCAAATTATCTAATTTTTTTCTGTAGAGTCCTTCAGAACAAATTTCTGCTAATTGCTGTGATATCCTTGATGGTAATGATTTTCTTCGTGGCCATATACTTGGTTTCCCGTCGTTCTACGCCTGCTACTAATTTAATTTCGCCCACAATAAATTCATCTAATCCGTGATATGTAATCATTTTTTTCTGCAAGGTGTTCATATCCTTATCTAAGCAGATACGGTGATACAAGTAATACACTGTGTTATGCTAGTATCATGTTTTCTCATGCAGCTTTCTCCGTCTTATCGACCTAAACTGTATGCCTACTTTAAAACATTGTATTATTTGTGATTTCAATTTCAGGTAAAAAAAATTTTCCTGCATCATTCTGTTACTTTTTATTCTGTTATTCACTTTGTATCTTGATCACATCGGCACCTTTATATTTATAAGTACGTAAAAGGTTTCTTTACAATATGAAGCTACTGGCAATTGTCACATTCACACTTTTCAACGAACAGCATGCATATCATATTTAGTATATTCGAACATTTTTTTAGATCTCAGTTATTGAATCCCTGGGATCCACAACATTGATATCTTCAATGCATATATCTTTTATTGGACGTCATACTGAGTTGGTGTCTCCTCCATCTTATCCAATGTTGCACTGCCTTCAATGACTCTTCTAAAAGAAAAATTTGGAGACATCTGTTAGGTTCATAGTATTTGTACATAAATTTCGAATAAGTACTAGACAATACAAGCCATAGTTTTCGATAAAATTTTCAACTATTTTAGTTCTTTGAGATTTTCACACGTCCAAGCAATATAACCACCATTCAGTGACTGAAAAGTGAGCTAGCAATATTTTATTGCTTTGAAGTTGAATAAAGTTGCAATATCATTAGGGAATTACTTCTATGACGATATACAATTGTCACTTCCTTTGTTCGTAAGCTAATTTCAAATCAGTGCTGTCTGCATCAAAATTGTATGGATAGTTGTGTGTATAGTTTAAGCCTGTGTACCTAGTATAAAGTGGTTTCCCCCTCAAGTTAGCAGGAAAGTGCATTTGAATAAATTGCTTAATTCTCATCACTTTCTGGTTACTCTTATAGATGTAGATGGCTAGAAACCACGGGACTGTTCTGATGAGTTTTATTTTTATTTATTTAGTAATTTTGTCATACAGCTTATATTACAATAAATTAGAAGTTTAAATAATTATTTGTGCGAAGTGAAAAATATTGGAATGAGCCGTTGTCTGAATTGATATTTCTCATCTTTCTAATGTAGTAAGCATGTGGAAAACAAATGTAAATACTGTGGTTATAGGAAGCAAGTAGGTAGTGCTTGTTTGTTACTTCTATTTTCAATATATAACCATTTGAAAAATGGTGGAGCAGTGTTACTGACTGACCTTAACATGTTTTAGAACCAGCGGTAAGTCTGGTGAATAGTTATTTATGACAAAATGTTTAAATTAGTTTATTGTCAGTGGTATTAAAAATACATTTTATGCGTTCTAAACTGCGTTTTCCGTTGAAAGCTGCTAATCACAAAACGTCCACCGAGCTCAACTCAGCGATGGACACAGATAGACCACATTGCTATTAGTCATCGCTGGAGAGGATCGGTGGAAGACTGCCGCTCCTTCTGGAGTACGTGTTTGGACAGCGATCATGCGTTGGTCCGAGCACGTATATGCCTGCGTCTCAATGGACGTAGAAAAAATTTGGCAACAAAACCACTACGAGTTCTGCTGGACAACGAAAACACCAAAGCCGTGTTCAGTGAGAAGTTGGCTAGGCAGTTATCGGAACAAAAGACTGTCACTCATCCAGAAGAAGCTTGGTGCCATCTTCAGTCTACTGTAAAAGCAGCACTGGAGACTGTAGCCGACTCCAAGATAATGGCTAAAAAGAGCCAGTGGATATCAGCAGCTTCTTCCAAACTAATGGATGCACGTGAATGCATCCCTGCAGGCTCTGAGTACAATGAAGAGCGAGCGCAACTTAAAAATAGACTGACGAAAAGTCTGCGCAACGATCGTGAACAGTGGTGGGCAGCAAAGGCTAAAGAGATGGAAAAGGCAGCGGCGATCGGTAACAGTAGACAGTTATTTAGACTTATTAAGGAGACTGGGGGGAAATGGTCAACAACAGTTAGTGAGGTTATAGCGGAGAAGGACGGATCGGCGATTCACTCGCAGGGGAGAAGACTGGGACGATGGGCAGAACACTTCGAGGAACAGTTTAACTGGCCTCCAGCCACCATTGCGCTGCCCGCTATCCAGTCGGACCCTGAATGGGACATAGAGACAGGTCCCCCAACACTAGAAGAAGTTGAGAAAGCGGTAGGTAGCCTGAAACGGGAAGGGCAGCAGGACCAGACGGACTACCTGCTGAGGTATACAAGAATGGTGGTAGAGTGCTCTTAGTCAGGCTAACGGAAGTGTTAGCCAGTATATGGGAATCAAATACGATCCCCTCCGACTGGTCTAAGTCACTCATCATCCCAGTCTTCAAGAAAGGCGAGAAGTCCTCTTGTGATAACCACAGAGGAATCAGCCTGACAAACATAGTGTCTAAGATCCTAAGTTCTATAATTCTCCGACGCCTGAGTGGAGCTCGGGAACAGCAAGCCCGAGAAAACCAGGCAGGCTTTAGACCTGGCCGTGGATGTATCGACCAAATATTCACACTGCGCCAGGTCCTGGAACATAGGCATGCTTACAGACGCCCGACAATAGCTGTATTTCTCGACCTGAAGGCGGCATTTGACTCCGTTGATCGAGAAGTCTTATGGCAGTGTCTGTCACTGAAAGGCGTGCCTAGTAAGTACATCACCTTATTGAAAGCTCTCTACTCGAACACTTGTGGGCATGTTAGAGCCTATGGTGAGTTGTCCAGGGAGCTATACTCATCAAGTGGTGTCCGTCAAGGATGCCCACTATCCCCATTCTTATTTAATTTTATCATAGATATTCTTATGGAGGTTTCCCTCTCGTCACCTAATTACACAGGTGAATTTTCCTTAGATCTAGAATATGCAGATGACATAGTCCTGTTAGGTGAAGACGCTGACAAGATGCAGAGTCTTCTGAACACTTTGAGTGGGAATTTGAGAATGTTTGGGATGCGATTTTCACCACCCAAATGCAAATTTTTGCTCCAGGACTGGTCTTCAGCGGTACCGCGGTTAACAATAGAGAGTGAAGTGGTTGAGTGTGTTGACCACTTCACTTACCTGGGAAGTAGGATCAACCCGGTGGGTTAGTTGCCGATGAGATTTCTGCACGGATACAAAAGGCTCGATTGGCTTTTGCCAATTTGCGCCACCTATGGCGCCGCCGTGATATTCGTTTGTCTATTAAGGGTCGCGTGTACTGCACAGCAGTCCGCTCTGTTCTACTGTATGGCTGTGAAACATGGCCATTGAAAGTGGAAGGTATAAAAAGGTTACAGGTGTTTGACCACCGTTGCCTTCGTAGTATAGGACGTATTCCGTGGTGTCACCATGTGAGTAATGCAGAAGTTAGGTGTAGAGTTTTAGGGAGAAGAGGTAAGTCAGTCGACGAGGTTGTGAACCTTCATCGACTGAGATGGTTGGGACACGTACTACGTATGCCTAGTCACCGATTGCCTCGTCACACAATGTTGGCTGAGGTGGGTTCAGGCTGGAAAAAGGCCCGAGGTGGCCAGACTAAAACATGGCACCAATGTATGAAGTCTCTGACTGTTGGTTTAAGCCATGTAGGACGATGCAGACTAGGTGGTTGGGGTCCACGGGACAAGAGGAACCAGTGGTTGGAGACCCTAGGTGATATGGCTCAGAACCGAAGTCAGTGGCGCAGATGTATACACACATTATCCTCATCTTAACAACGCTATACCGAATCTCACTATTTTGTCACTCCTCTTTCCTTTCTCGTACTTTATATTTCTTTTGACTGCATTCACTTATCTTCATCCTTCACCTCACTACCTTTTTACTTGATGTGCTGATATGAGGTGTGGCAACTCGGACCGTTACGCAATAATGCCTGGTCCTATGTTGATAATGATGTTGATGACCAACTATCTTTACCGCTGTTTATACAGCATACTTAATACGACGCCAGGTTTCCTCAGGGTGAGCATTCCTGTCATATTTAGATAAATGCTGCGCTATCTTCCTAAGTACGTACTTGACGTCCTCGTCTTACAATCCAGCGTAGAAAGGCGTTATTATCGCCTGTTTCCTGCGACCAGTAAGAATCAAACGTTGATGTGCCATTTATAAAGCGTCGGCGTAATTGAAACAGGTACTGCAGAAAGAGCGGCAATACTCCAATGATGGCCTATACAAATATTATTTGTATGCGTCCCTCGTTGGTTTGGTATTGATAGGCACCATCTGAAACACTGTCTCTCCTTATGCTTAATATTATTGCTGGCCAGAAACAAGCGTTTTTTAGAATGAAATTGCAACAGACGTTCACTGTTGTCGGTTCGTTGACATGGGATCCCATAGATGCTTCCGAGACGCCTTTCTGATTGATTCAGCTCTCCTACTGAAGCATTAAAACCTCCTGTCATTATGAATTCATCTGAACATTTTGCCTACTGTGACAGTCTCTGCTAGAATTCATCCATTGGATCATCCGAACTTCAGTCAGTGGGACGTGAAGGCGAAGATTACGAGGAAGTATTTTCTAGCCTCACCGCCCTTCCTCATTCTGACAGATCCACTCATTCGAACACCACATAGACGACTATTGACTGGTATCCAGTCGAGAAGCGCGCTTTCTATTCTTCAAAATCTAGTGCTCTACATACATACTAGCATGTTCAAGATGGCTAGCCATCTCATCTGTGCATATCCGCAAATTGAACCTTGAAGATTCAGAGGAATGGCCAGGTTAAGTCGAGTAAATAATCACACTCGAATCATGTATGCGTGTGTCAGAAGCACAAGATACGTCCATGGCTTGAGATTCCAGAGTTCTAGCGAGCTATGCCTGCTCTCAGATTTGGCAAACGGTTGGGATGGTGAAGTTCACTATATGAAATCGACAACCTAGGGGAGACTTAGAATGAGGTTTCAATGGAAGTAATCGTTGACAATGATCTCAGAGTGAGAGGTTAAGAAAGTTATAGAAGGAATAATATTGGTATTAAGAGGTGAAAGCAAAGAAGAAGACACCGTTGGAGAGAATAGATTATGTTGGATTGGGTCTTGTGTACTACCTCGTCTCCCCGTAGGGAAGGTAGCATCAGGGTATCACTGCTGATCATCCAGGGGAAACACCGTACTGCTGTCGCACCTGATCTAGTCAGGAGTACAACTTCGCTCTCGCATTCCATCATAGCGTAGCAATTTACGCTACAACGGTAACTGCTTTTCGTCTTACCACCATCCAACAGACCTTTCCAGCATGATGTGACCTGGAGAGAACAAGTGTTCCAGCCAGTGTAGCTCATTGGGTCATTGTGAAATACAAGCCCGACAGACACGTCAATGTAGCAGCTGTCGATCGAGTTTGATTTATAACCCATTATTTGTCGCTGAACAGGGTCATTGAACTATTATATTCAGTAAATTCTAACAACCTAAACAAAAGTAGTCATCAATAAATTTCTCATGCGTCTTGGCGTGATATCCGCGTATCGATCATTACCACTAGGTCTGCGTATTCACCCA